CTACTACTGCTACTTCTACTTCTACTACTACTACTACTACTACTACTACCACGACGACTACCAGTACTGCTCCTGGAACTCCTCGTGCTGCTAGAAGCTGCTGCTGCTACTGCAACCACTACTGCTACTGCTGATGCTGCCTCGCTATCATCAGCACCGGCTCATCGTCATCGCCACAAGCATCATCATGAACTTCGGTGAACATCAGTGTCTACTCAGAGGCTTTAAATTCTAGAATCACACATATACATTCTTGCCCAGGAATGGCTTGACAAGCGGCGCTTGCTGCGGGACGAGGACTCGAGCAGATGTTGGTCCGAGACCGGAGATCTGTGTTTTCATTCCGCGAGAGGGCTCTTCGTGATACCGAAAGCACCCTGGGCAGACAAAGAAGCTGGCTCTGCCTTGTCAAAACCTCAACCCTGAACCTGGACGCCTCAACCCAGTCAAGCTGAAATCCAAGAAAGAAAGCAGGCTGGCAAGCTGGCGCTGCAGATCACCGAAGCGCAAGCCGAGGCACAGAGTGTATGGTGTTGGTTCTAGGTGCAGGGTTGTCCTAGAATGGGGTTGTGTTGAGCAGAGTGGTATGGCTGAGTGGGACAGCCGAACCCTTGCGAACCACGTGTTAGTGTTGATTCACGGCTTTGCTAAGCTAGATCTCTTCGCCTGTAATGGTATAATTTCGGTGTAATGGTGTGTACACCCACACGACGCCGGTGGCCGATTGAATTGTCGGAGCCGAAAGTGGTTTGTCGGCTCCTTGGCGTTTGCATCTATACCTAGTGTGTCGGCGGTCCTGTGCAAGATGCCCATCTTGCCGTTCATCCCTTGCAGCAAAACATATCGTGACTTACATCGTTCGAGCCTTAATTTTACAAGAGACACCGAGCAGAACAACACTTTGGCTGCCGTACCTGAAAAGAAGGACTCAAAGTTTCATTCTGTGTCTTGTGGCCTTGCGGACAATGATGACGATACTGCGTGTGTGCGTTAGCTCTGGCAAAACAGTTAAGCAATGATGTGTTGTTGTTGTTGTTGTTGTTGTTGTTGTTGTTGTTGTTGTTGTTGTTGTGGTTGCTGCTGCTGCTGCTGCTGCTGCTGCTGCTGCTGCTGCTGCTGCCGGTGGTGGTGCTGGTGCTGGTGCTGGTGCTGGTGCTGGTGCTGGTGCTGGTGCTGGTGCTGGTGCTTGTGGCGATGATGGTGGCGGTGGTGGTTGTGGTCATGATGCTGTCGTCGTCGTTGTTGCTGCTGCTGTTGCTGTTGCCGTTGCTGTTTGCATCGCCTGTAACAATTATATCTTGTGATTGACCTGCCAGTCTCAGCATCTTGGCTTTCGGCTGCATGTTCTGCATTTAACACCGCATATGACGGCTTTTTGGAAATCTAATTGGATTTCCCATGTAGGTCGGCCGGAAGCAGCTGGTCGTCGACCAGGCCATGTCTTTGCAACCACCGAAGGGTCTTATGAGGCCCAGTCCTTGTGTTTACTGATGCCGCTCCTCTCGAGCTTGAGACAAGTTAGCATCCTGCTTCGTTCAAAATACCAGGGTTGCCAAGGTTTCGAACACACACACACACACAGCCGCATCTTGTGTATTGATTTCGCTCTGCATGAACCGGATTGGTGGTTAGATGAGGTTCACAGCTTATAAGGCATGCCCGTGTAGAACATGTGGTCCTCAATGGATTGGGTCTGACTGCGCCAGCCCTGACCCTGAAGTCACTAGGACGAGTTTGCAAAGGCAGCATGTCCACTCCTCATCAGGGATCTCCCCGATCGAAAAATCTCCCTTACATGCCTGCCTGTTATGAATGCATTCTTTATGTTCTCAATCGCACTGGTCAGGACTCGGAAGCCGTGGACCTCTCGGAGCGGCGTCTTCGCCATGCTGTAAAGGAGGGACACTCCAGCACTCGCTCTTGCAGAAGCGGATCTGGGGGACGTTCTGGAGTAGCCTTCCGTGCTAGTTCTGGGAAGCCGCTAGGGCCTCCAGATGGTCGTCATTGTCAAGGCTTGCCTCGCAAATGGTGGTTTCTGAGATAGCTCTACTCGCTTCTGCAAGCCTCGCGGAAGACTTCGCCAACCTTCTCAAGTTCTGTCATAACCCCCCTCTTTCTATATTCTGTATTAAAATTTACATGTATACATGTATATACATATCTCTATATTATGAATTATTTCAGATCTTCATATTTATAGTTTTTATATACTCACAAAGCTCAACAGTCTCGATGCCTACCCCTGCACTAGAAGACGTTTATGGTTGGCCACATGCAAGCATTAGCCGCATTAGCCTTCTCTAAGTTGTTCAAACGGGTGATAACGTGTCTTTCTTGCCAAATAAGTGGTCGCAACTAACTGGCAATATTTAAGCGTACCAGTATTTAATACAACAGCTAAGTGGAAATCACAGTTCCGCCAGGAAGTGGGCGAAATTTCATCAGAAATTGACGAGGCGATGTTCTCCTATGAGGCTCAGATGGACGACAGCGTGACCAGTTTCTGCCTTTCGTAGGGCCTACAGGATTTAGGAAGTGGGGGTTCTTTCAGACTGATGATCGCCGGAAGGTAATACCTGGTACGAGTAGTCAGAAGTTTAAGATATCAATGCATGGCCTTCGTAGGTGCTGAACTTGGGAAGGTCTTGCACGTTACTGTACCCTATAGCCGCTACTGCCTCGTGTGTAAGGAGACTTCGGGTCTGTGGACTCCTCAATGACACCTAGGTCAAGTACTAGAATACTGTAGCGAGTAGATAAGTAGAATATCAGCAGCCACGAAGTCACCCAAAACAAAGCTTTTCGTCCAGATGTCCCAACTTTTAGAAATTGCTGCTGTGGTTTTTGGAGTTCGCGACATGCAGGTTCGGAACAGAGACCATAGCAACAGCACTGTCGTTTTTTATTGAAAGCATTCATCTTGACAATGATTACTGCTGCCGTCAAGTCCCAAGCAAAGGCTTGATCCTTGGAAGTTCAAACTCGGAAGCATTAATCCTCTCACGCCATTAGCATTGTGTTGGCAACGAGCGGTATTACGGCAACGAATGCCCATCTACTCGCTCGTGGATGCTCTCGTTACTTCTTGCAGTCAGATGATTTGCTCGCGGCAGCACGAAGCTAGATGGCGCGGGCAACAAAATTAAAGTCCATCGTATCACTTTCGGGGCTTGGAAGTTGAATTAGGTTTGGGTTCAGGTTGTCAATAAGGGTCTAAGATGTGACCCCGCAGCCTGTTGTTGTCCGATGCCGTGCGACAGGCCAGTGCCGAGTTGCTGGCAGGGGTCATGACTCCAGCAAACATCACCATGTCCCACGGCCTGGATCAGGGCTCCAGTTCAGTAGATATGCCGCTATGCCGTTTCGTGTTCGGCGTATTGGAGTTGCTTCGTGGTGGTCGTTGCGGACATCCTCTGGGTTCATCGGACTTCGTGATGTTTTCGGATCTTCTTTAATGTTCAGAGTTCTCCATGACTTTGGCTCTTGGGCGTTGCAGGCTGGATTCGTCGTCACGAGGTTTTTGCTGACATGTCAGGTCTTCCAGGGTTATGGGATCGCTGGCGGCCAGAGGCATTGAGTGCTGATTTCCACTCTCCTGTCACCAGCGATGTGGAGCATAAGGCTTGTGGCAGGTGCTGGTCGGCTGGGGACGTTATCTGCAGGATGCACTCCAACATCAGAGTATGAAATAATCACTAGGCACATGGTACCTCGATCAACCGATTGGCCTGCACTGAATGAACTATCACGCCAGCATGGAGAAAAACACTAGCATTCGACATGGAGTAGTAGCAGTAGTAGTACCAGTAG